TTAAAACTAACTTGTATGTCAAATTTTCTTAAGGGGTCCCATCTGTACTGATCAGCTATAGGTATAGAAATTTGTAACTTTTTTTTTGTCATTGCCCTGAACATTAAATACACCACTAGAGAAGATATTACCAATAATTCTGACTTTGGCATTGTATGGGAAATAATGGAATTGATCAATAAGTAAAAAAAAGACAGATTAAACATACATACAGACCAAGGACAAAAAAATTTTTCCTCATGGTTTTAAAGGAGATCAAAGATCAGATAAAAAAGCCTCTCTCTTTTATTTTTAGTAGGTCAACAGTATGGTTGTGTGTACAGGTACCTGAGGATTGGAGAGTTGCTTATGCTACTCCAACTTCTAAAGGGGGTGATAAGAATTGAGCTGGATTTTATAGGTCAGCTAATCTGAATTATGCAAAAGGATAATTTCTAAATATCACATGAAAAAAATGAGCCAACAGTGATTCACTAAAGAAAAATGCTGTCTTACTTATCTGTTAACATTTAGGGGTCTTTATTTGTTATCTAGAGGAGAAACAGGGTGTACAACTTGTGTACTCAGATTTTCAAAGAGTTTTTAATAAAGTGACACAGAAGTCCACCGAGAAAATCAAATAGGTGGTGGTTGGGGAAAGACTTGTTAAGTGGATTGTAAATTGGCTGGATAAGAGAAAGCAAGATTGTTATTAATGCAGTCCAGTCAAACTGGACCTTTGTATCTGTGGTCAGTGTTTGGATCTTTGCTTCTTATTTATATTAATGATGATGATAGTACATAATTAATAAAGGTTGATGATAACAAGGAACTCTTAACCTTTTCCCTGTTTTAAGTCATTTAATGATTTTATGAATATGCTTATTTGACTACTTACCCAAGTAGATATGAGTAAAGCATATCCTTGTAGTATTAATGAAAGAGAGTGGAGTATAGCAACTATAAATCATAGGTTTATATTTTATCTTGAGTGGTAGTAACTTAACCTATCATCATTCACATATGTTTTGAGCATCACATGTGATGCTCATATGAAGTCCCCTTCTAATCTCATATGTTGAAGTGAAAACAACCAGTTCATATTGCCATGCTCACGAACATCAGCTGCATATCTGATAACTTTAGCTGTGTATCATGTATGATATTCAGACATTTTAGTATTATGTCCCATGAATCAAAAGTGATGCACAGAACAGGGTTAAGCATTTCTATATCTATTGAGGATGCTGAGGTATTACAGAATGACAAGTAGCTGCAAATGACTGTTAACTACAGTAAGTGTGAGATAATGCATTTTGGTTATCACAATTTGGATTATGCTTTTAATCTAATTCAGCCTGCTGTCAACATAATGACAACTATTTGTAAAAACACAAACATATTGTAAGTCTTTTCACTATTTGATGTACAATCACTTTTGTATTAGGATATGATAATGAGTGAACCTTTTCCCAAGTTTCACATTTTTCAAGATAATTTCTGTTTATAAAAGAATAATCATCAGCACAAGCAGGGGCCTATAGTGTTACAGCATAAGACAGTTACACATTGGAACTAACATGAATGCTATGGTATAAACCTTCATCACTGATATGATATACTCAAACAGCAACAGTAATGTTACTTATTACTTAAAATCAAGTCTACAGTAACAAAGAGATGTATTTTCTCATTATTTTCTTCAATTATTATACCCTTAGATACATTTCCCTTTTTGATTTAATCAATTTTATTATGAAAAACCTGTGGTAACTTTTAAAATTAGGCCAATTTTATCACCAAGAGCAAGCTTCAGACATGCATATTTCTCAATTGAATGTACACAAGCAGCATCAAAGAAGCTTGATTTGAAAGCTTCAAAATAACTCATATTTTGCCTAATATTACAAAACATGAAATAAAAGTCATTGGCCAAAGATATTGTTATTATTTCTTCAGTATTCTAAATTATTTATTGGTGTGTAAATAAACAAAATATATTCATTTGGTATACTCTATTCTTTAACTCAAAGAGCCAGTCATGTAGCAACTAAACCATGATTTATGGCTTGCAAGGCAAGAACAGCTACCTCCCACAATTGTTGTAAATGAAATAATAACTATTGTTCCAACTGGTTAATAGAAGAACATACTCTACCTATATACAGTAAAGTTCAAAACTAAAGAACAATGTAACGTTATACAAAAAATAGACCAGTTGCACTGATTTCTTTGAGGGAATGTGACAAGGGCCTAATAAATCTGTTAAATACATCTTATTTCATCACTTGATAAAAGAAAAAAATAGTGGAAAATAGATTGCTGAAAAGTATATAACATGTCAAACAAAACTTATATAAATTTGGTGTCTTTAGATTCATATTGTTTGCTTGTTGTAAAGTACAAAGCTGCAAAATGGGCTATCTGCTGTGCTCTTCCCAGGGCAGGTATCAAAACCCAATTTCTAACAAACATTAACTGAATTTTAAAACCTCTAAATGAGGATAAAAAATAATACTTATTTTATGAATTTTCAAAATGTGTTTATATCAAAGAAAAATCCAAAATCTAGATATTTTTGTTATAGATTTTTGTGGAATGTAGTTTTATTGGAGCAAAAAAAAGATGACATTTTCAAAAAACAACATTGACAATTGTGCTCAGCAGCTTTGAAAGTGTTCGGCTGGTAAGGGTTAATATAAACTTGAACCTACTCAATAGTGTGACTGAATAAAATTATCTTGAAATAATGGTAGTAGAAGTAATGCATAAAATTTTAGGATGTATTCATGGATACACTGATGACAATAATAAACAACTAATTATCTTTTTATGCAAATCACTAGTTAAGCAACATTTGGATTACTGTGCTGTTCAAATCCTATACACTCACTATTATTAACAGAGAAAGCAAATGATAACATTTTCTTTTACAGGAATTTGCATTTATTATAGGCACAAAAATTACGATAGTTTACCTTGAAGTCTCCAAGTTGCGTCTTTCCCTAAAAATGAAAAAATAGAGGTAATTAATACCCGAAATACCAGTGCAGGTTAGGTCATGAAGGATCAGTAAATTAAAAAAATAATGAAAATCTGAAACCAATGATCTAAGATCACACAACAAAAATGGTTTAAAACATATGTGGTACGAATGATGAAATTCACTACTCATAATTCAAGCTATAAACTGTGCCACAGTAAAAGTGACACACTATAACGTATGAATGAAAAACTGGTCTTAAAATATGATTGCTGAATGATATAGTTTAAAACATTTTTTTTATTAGCTCATGTTTATATCACACAACTAGAACAGCTGATCATAAACTCATGACCTCAAAAGTTGTATAATGTTATCATATGATTTATAAATGATGATGTAGTAGTTTTCTGTAGTTCAAGCAAAGTAAAAATAAGCTGGAAGCATGGGCACCCACAGAAATATTTTCGGGGGGGGGGGGGCAAAACGTGCATGTAAGGGATCAGCTTTTACAGTGTAAGTCAATAGACTAAAAGAATATGTGTTATGTGTGCTTAAACACAAATTTACAGTTTTAATAAAAATTACTAAGAATATTAAGTTTAACTACAGTGTTAAGCTTAGACCATAATACATGCAATTTTCTGTGAAATGTAAGGGGGCACACTCCCTCTTGCCCCTTCCTGTGGGCATCCATGTCTGGAAGCAAGAGTGACACTTTAATAGCTTGTCATTCTCCCATGGCATTGTATGGTAATCTCAACATTAGGTTATACTTTGAAACAATGTGATACAAGAAACACTGTTACAGTAAAAAATGATAAATTATGTTGCTGTTTGATTTTCAGGTTAATGTTTTAACATATTTTTCTACATCCAATCTACATTTAATACACATATTTAGATCTGTGGAATTTTCAGATCTAGATATTTCCAAAGTTCTAAGAAACAAAAGTAAAAAAAAAAGTTTATTTTACAAAATACACAAAAAAGAGGATCTTGCAAAAACTGATCACCATAAAAAGGTTAGTGATCAAATCTTACAAGCTTTCACGGTGACAACACATGATACTGCTCAAGACAACTGTAAGAATGATGACCACAACCACAGGAACAACAATTGTTATTATGAAATCCATCAAAAAGTCCCGACGAGGATAGTTAGGGAAGTGAGGGATGAAGTCATCACTTGATAACAGGATTGGTGAGAAAGATGGACTTGGCTTTTTATCCTCAATCACAGTATCTTCATCTGGAATCTAATCATGAGAAAATTATAACCATTATATTTTAATTATATATCTATGCACTTTGTTTTGACTTGCCATAATGCATGAATAAGTTAAATTCAATTTTTAGGTAGTGAATATTGCTGTTCTTTCAGTACTATTTCAATAAAAACAGACAGAATCACAACCTCAAACTCAGAATTATAAATTAAATCAAATTACAATGTATTTAAATAAACTGTGATAGTAAAAATTTTTCTTCATGAAGAAATTAATTAGTCATAATAATGATTATTGCACAAATGATGTATAAAAGTTTTCTTTACAGTAAATCTATATTCAATGGTCATGTTAGCATTTTTGTCCATGCATTCAAAATTGCATGTGTAAAAAAATTTTAGTCCTGTCTTTTGGGAGTTGTGTTCAAATACTTAACTACTGTTCCTTTGCACAAAATGAATGAAACATTGTCATTTCGCTGAGACAAACACTGTTCACCATGTCAACATGACTATTTGTAACTCCATGACCTTTTGGCTTGAATCTGACAGCTGTCAAAATGAGGTCACCCTGAACCATATATTGGTCAAGATTTATGCTTTGTCACATGCTTTACAATAAATGACACCAGTGATTAATTTATTTACAAGCATTTATGCAATAAGAAGTTGATCAATGCAGGTTTGATTTTCACTAATGTCATGGCAATATGTTCATTGAATATATTTTAAATTGATTTTAAGAAATGCAGACCTCATGTACACATATATGACACACCTGCACAATGATCATGAGCACTTATCAGTGTTTTACATAGGTATAAATACAGCCTAGATCTCCTTCAAAGCCAATAATAAGATAAGCAGTTCACCAAGAAAAAAAAAATGCTTGTATGGAGCTTGGTTTGTAACTTTTAAAACTAGTGTTTTCATAAAAATTATGTTGATGGCTTTTTCATCAATTTTGAAATTATTACTTTAATTAACAATGTAAAATAGAATTAAATCAGGTTTAATTCATGTAAGGTGTAGCACTGGTTTTTATTGAAATAACATTAATTGTTTAGTAAACAGATTTATTTTTCAATTTGAATTCAAATTTGTATAAAAAATAGAGAGCAAGGTTTGAATAGCATCAGTTGTAGAACTTTTTTTGCAATCAATGTAAAACATATTCTCTGAACTAATTTACAAAATAAGTGACACTGTATTTCCTTGTTATGAGTTATATTTATTCAAAATTTAAGTGAAAAATACAAAAGTAAAAATAAATGAATAAATAGCAAAAGTTAAACAGTTTAACTTTGGTAATTCTAAGAACTTATGAGTTAGAGTAAAGGAGAATTTATAACAATATCTCAACTAGACTATATCTGTCATATCTAGTGCTATTGAAGCCTTGTGATTAATACCAGGGTTCAAGAGGCTAGATGGGATATGCCAGAAACAGAAGTGATTAAAATCCTATTTATATTATCATGAACAACTGTTATGATGCAAATTAGATTAAGTAAGTGAAGTAGTCATTTACAAATCATAATTATGATAAGGATTAATAACACAATATTAATATTTCCCTTACTTCAAGCTGCTTATTTAACCCTTTCAAGTCAGGCTCGTGTAATTTGCAGAAAATGTTGTGAATTTCACTTGTACAACAACACATGTGGTAACTCTGAGATTTCTTAATGTATCCTCTCAGTGGCATAGCAAGGGTTCTCAGCACCTGGGAGCAAAGACACTTTTGGCACCCCCACCTCTGAAATGTTTTGATTATTTGTTTTGTGACTCATTACCCACTTAATGACAATAACATAAAGAATTAATTACCACCTTACACAGGCCTAAAATAAGGTCACAATATAACATCTCACAATATCACAACTGTAAACCTGGAATCTGTTTTATAATCCATGTACGCCACAAGTGACTGGCTTCTCATATAAAACATAAGTTCCAAAACTAGGGATATAACAGAAATTTATTCTGCATGCTTGAAAGAATACTCTAGCTATGTGACTTTGAACAATGCTGGATGACATGAATATCAAAATGGTTTACAAATTATGTAAGTACACCTAGTACAAAAGCACGAAAGTTTCATATAATGTAACCATGAATACCAGAATGCTGCTTGGACAAGATCTAGTTAAGCATATGTACAGTTTTGTAAGCTAATAAAATTTGTTATTTGTAAACTTAAGTAGTTATTTATCAGTCCAGGTAAAGGCAAAAAGTCCGATTTTCCTGAACCAATGGTTGCAACTGATTAGCTAACATTTATAATTTCATATGGTGAAGATGTTTTCCCAAATTTAAGAATTGCATTGTAGATTTTGTTAACAATTGTGGCTTCTATTGCTAGTCGTGAAAGGTCCTTCAGCAAGCTGAAATTACTTCTTACATACTTGAGAACCTCAACGACTAAAAACCACTTAGTAACTTGGCAATATTAAGTATTGAAAAAGACGTACTTAATAACTTAAATTTTGATAGTTTAATTGATGCATTTGCAGCACGTAAAAAGTCCTGTCAAGAAGCACTTAAAGAAGACAAAAATCAATGTGAAACATCGCGATTGACCAGTGAAAGAAGAAACATATGTCATAGACGAATGCCAGGTGAAAATGCTGAACAGGAAATTTATCGCATCATGAAGGATGTTACTGATCATTTGATTACAGAAATAAGAGGAAGATTTTCTCACTTACTAGATTTAGATTCAAGGTTTGGATTTCTACTAGATGTGCAAAACATATTTTTCTGAAGATTTTGAAGACGGAAAGTTTCAAGAAAAATGTTCTGACTTAGCAAAGAGCTATCCAGGTGATATTGATGGACCAGAATTGTTCAGAGAAATTAAAGACTGTAGAATGATGATAAATTCAATCAATTTCTCTTTCAAAGAATCAAGATCAGCAACTGCTTCTCTAAAATTCATTTTTGGGTCCTGAAGACGTTTCTGCACTCGACTCATAGATGATGAAAGATTTCTCCAAACATGCAAAAGTACAAGAAAATCAAATGTAATCATGCGTTTCAGAATATTATGAGCACCACATTTTGTTTCAGCCGTGTTGTCATTCTCACTTAATTACTCCAACAGTCCTAGCAATTCATCCAGTTTTTTCATGTACAACTTTTACTGCCTTTTCTCTTGCACTTCACCGTGTTTCTGATTCACATTTGACAGAGACCTAAAGCTCCTGCTGCAGTTCGTCCCATCGCGTTGTTGAACAAGCACAGAAATTATAAACGGCATCAATTATACCAAAAAATAGTAATAACTGTTGTTTCCTGACTTGAACCATAAAGGCATGCTAAGTTCAAACTATTTTTGTCACAGTTTATAAACACTGCTTTTGGATTTTTGTTCAGAATTCTTTGTTGAACGCCTGACAGATGACATGATATGACAGCAGCATTATCATAACATTGTGAAGAACAATCACTCAATAAAATTCCATCCGCTTCTAATTTTGTGCTTATTGTTTTCTCAGTATTGGCAGTGTCTTTTTCCTTTGTCTGTATAAAGTCAATAAATGATTCTTTGACTTCTATTTTTCTTGTCTTAAAGTCAATGCCAACAAACCGAATCACTTGGGCCAATTGCTCACGATGGGCTAAATCAGGTGTGGAATCAAACAGAATATCATAGCCTTTGTTTCTACGAATTGCTGACAAACAATAATTGCGCACATGTGAAGCCATGAGATTTATAAACTCATTTTGGATTTCAGGAGAAAGATAAGATGTTGACGTTTGTTTGTTTTTAACATTTGGTTTAAACGACGCCTTCTGAATGGACAAGAGGTCAATCGTTCCTGGTTGGTGTATTCACCTCTACATAAAGCATCAAGCTGCTTTTGTTGCCTTCTTTTTTCATCTACATGTATGACATCCGACAGTCGGCCTGCTTTCAAAACACAAGGTGGATTCTCTAAGTGGAAAAAAAATTAAAAGTTAAATGCCCATGAAAGTAGTGACCGTTATTGTGAGTCGTTTGCTGCTTGGAAAGAAACTGAGCGCAGAATTCGTCTTGAAAGTCGTATTGATGAAGAGCTGCAAAGGCAATTCAGCAAGAAAAAATAAATGAAGAGATTTACTGTGATAATTGCTAGATTGTACACAATATTTATCTTCTCAGAATATTGCATTTCGTGGTCATACTGAGGACATAACCTCAAACGAAAACCCTGGAAATTTCCTTAGAAAAGTATGATCCAGTAATGAGAGAGCATTTAGAGCATACCTCTAGGCTTATATTATGTTATGATTACACCCTTCTCCACAGAGTGTGTAATTTTCATTCGAGCAATTTCAGACTTGTCTCCTGTAGTGTTCATGCAGTTAAACCTATCGAGTTTTTAAATGTGATTTAGCAACTGCCAATAATTTATATGGTGCTCATAAGCATGATTTACCAGCATATACACTCATCTGCATTGATTTTCTTACTGTTGTGTCAAATTAATTAATATGAGTACGGGTGGTCTAAATAATGGCAGTCAAAATGTTAAAGTTAAAGATGTGCCTAATTAGTCCTGAGTTGCAACTATAATTGTATAATTTAAATATAATTTGTGGTTAGGAACTAGGGAAAGTAGAATGCTTCCTTTCATCTAACAATTTGCATATTGTAACTAAATAGTGTCGACAGTATTTATTAATTTATTCTTTTAGCCCATTATGTCGAAAAAAGAAAGTGGGGCACAGAGACGCAAAAGACGTGCACAATTTGCAGCTTCTACGGTGGAGTCAAGCAAATTGCGAGCTTTCCTTGCTGTAAGTGATGACACCAGTAAGCCAGCATCTGTTCCTTTTGATGGCAGCAAAGAGGTCAAAGTGCAAGATTGTGAATATGCTATTTCATTTGAAAAAGAAAACAATGAAGAAACTGTTCTCTGTCCTGTTGAAAGCTACAATAGTAATAAACAAGTGGATTCCACTTTGTCAGAAACAAATCCACAGAATGAAAGATGATGACCTAATAAATATTTGAACACACAGGGATATTGGATTTATGAAGTTTGATACAACAGGCTCAGCAATTGTAACACATGCACATAGCACAGAGATAGTTAAAGTTGGAGCACATGAATTTCAACATAAAAAAGGTCCATTTGATGCCAAAGATGGGCGTTCTATGACTGTTCAAAGGCTATATTTAATATTAAAGGTTTTGATAGAATGAGAAAACTTAAATATAGGCTAGCTAATTAGTGGTGCTAGATTACAGTTCCTAGATTAAGTCTATAGTACATCTAGATCTAACATTAATGTTAGACCTGTTATTTCCAT